TATTATTATTATTATTATTATTATTATTATTATTATTATTATTATTACTACTACTACTACTACTACTACTACTACTACTACTGGGAGTCCTCGACTTACAATAGTTCATTTAGTGACCGTTCAAAGTTACAATGAATGGACTGAAAAAAAATGACTTAGGAGCGAGCATTTTTCACACTTATGACCATGGCAGCACCCACAAAATTCAGGCGCTTGGCAACTGACTCATATTTATGATGGTTTGCAGTATCCCAGGAGTGCGTGATTCCCTTTGTGATCTTCTGGCCAATGAAGTCAATGGGGAAGCTGGATTCACTTAACAACCGTGTGACCGACATAACAATCACAGAGATACACTTAACAAATCAGGCAAAGAGAAGACGTAAAATGGGCCGAAACCCGCTTAACAAATGTCTCGCTTAGCCACAGAAATTTGGGGCTCAATTGTGGTCATAACTCAAGGACTACCTGTAAGTAATCCCTTGTGTGTCCAATCACAAGTTCCTTGTGTGACAAATTCCTGGCGTGTCCAAACAGACTTGGCCAATAAAGAATTCTAATACGTTGACAACCCATGATTTTTAATCAGTAAGCTGAGGACTACATGAATGGTCAACTGCTCTGGCGGGGCAGGAAATAGAATAGAATAGACTACGGTAGGGTAGGATAGAATAGGGGGAAGGAGGAAGAAGAATGGGATGGGATGGGATGGGATGAGATGGGATGGGATGGGATGGAATGGACTGGACTAGACTAGACTAGACTAGACTAGACTAGAATAGAATAGAATAGAATAGAATAGAATAGAATAGAATAGAATAGAATTCTTTATTGGCCAAGTGTGATTGGACACACAAGGAATTTGTCTTGGTGCAAATGCTCTCAGTGTACATAAAAGAAAAGATACATTCATCAAGAGTCAAGAATCATCAGGTACAACACAAAGATAGTCATAGGGTACAATAAGAATAGAATAGAATAGAATAGAATAGAATAGAATAGAATAGAATAGAATAGAATAGAATAGAATTCTTTTATTGGCCAAGTGTGATTGGACACACAAGGAATTTGTCTTTGGCGCAAATGCTCTCAGTGTACATAAAAGAAAAGATACCTTCATCAAGAGTCAAGAATCATGAGGTACAATACTTAATGATAGTCATAGGGTACGAGAAGCAATCAAATCATACTAGGAAACAGTCAATATAAATCGTTAGGATACAAGCAACAAAATCACAGTCATACAGTCATAAGTGGGAGGAGATGGGTGAAAGGAAGGATGGGAGGATTAATAATGATAGTTTTGGAATAGCAAATAATCCCAGGAGTGAGAGGACAGATACAAAGCCGTCTTACCTGCTCGTTGGTTGTGCGTCCTCGGGCCACCAAAACGATGTGGAAAGCAGTCAAGCCAATCACTGGAATGAAGAACAGCCCAGCGATACACATGACTGTCATCCTGGATGCTGGTGTTAAGGAAACCCTTGCAAATGATTGTGCCACGGGCACTGGAGTACGGTAGGAAGAATCACAGGGTTCAACCTGAGAGGACCCCAAAAGGAGGATACGTAACGGCAGTATGGGCCACGCCCACTTTTTCAGCATGGTGTAAGACATAGATAAGCCCGAAGGTGAACACGCCGACCATGTGGGCACTTAAAGACAGCAAGAAAAGGAAAAAATAGCGGTAGTTTCGTCTTCCGATACAGTTATTAACCCAAGGGCAGTGATGATCAAAATCCTGGTGAGACAACAGGAGAGACAGTGTAACAATGCAGGCATAACTTGGAGTACATACAGGTTGTTAACTCAAGAATAACGGGAAACGTAATAATAAAAATAAAAAGAATAACGGGAAACGTAAAAATAAAAAAACACTGTCAGCTTGTCAGGCCTCCAAGAACCAGGAAAGACCCATGGAGTTGACTTCTGAGCAAGGCCCTTTATTGTTCCTCACCTATAGACAGAATCTTGCCAAACTAAAGCAACTGTTTCCATCACGATAGATTTACTTGGAGAATTGTTAGGAAGGAGCCTTTTTAGCTCTGTTTCAAACGATCTAAACTTGACTGTCTCTTCACCCTCCTGAGAATCCAGACTGTATGCCACCACAACTCCAGGTTTTTAGTTTTGCAGTGTCCACTATCCACTAAAAGGAGTGGTGCAGTGGCCTAGAGGTGGAGCTCTCGCCTCACAATCAGGAGGCTGTGAGTTCGAACCTAGGTAGAGGCAGGTATTTCTCTCTCCGGGCACAATGAGAATTTATCTGCTGAACAAAACTCCACATTGGCAATAGGAAGGGCATCCGGCCATTAAAACTTTCTGCTAGCTCCATTTTGTTGCCCAGACTCCACCCCACAAGGGATTATGGGGTCATTAAAAGATGATGATGAAGACCGATGCTACTTAAAAGGAGTCAAAACGGCTACTTGAAAGTGCTTCAAAAGCAAGTCGAGGGAACAGAAGGTTGAAGAAAAGAAAGACTATGAAGATCATTATCTGGATGGAGCTGGTGAGGTCCTTCAAAAAATAAAATAAAATAGAAAGGTGGAAAGTTTAAAAAACAAAACAAAAGACAAGGTATGAAACGCTGGATGGATAAAGGGGAAGGAGTTAAGAGAGAAAGGAACAGAGAGGTAAGTGAATGAAACTAGCTTAAATCAGAGCAGATTATTATTTTTTCCCTCTCCTTTTCTCTTTCCTCCTGCCTTTAGTTTCTCAATGCTTCTTTCTTTCCAGAGGTGGTTATGTATGTAAGCGTGTGTGAGAGAAAGAGAGAGAGAAATTGCACACATTTAAGGGATATATGTGTGACAAAGAGGATTTCCTGGCAATAAACCTCCTGCTCAATAAAACACTATTACAACCGTGGCATAAAATCCTTTTGTCTTCTCGGCCAATAAATTCTCCTCGCTAACCTTCACCCCAGCCATCCCTCTAATGAAGAGGAGTGTGTTTTACCTTCTGCTCTGGCCAACTCCTTTTAATGAATTTCTCTGCCCAGAGTTGGATTCTCATCTCCTGTTTTAACTGCGCAACCGACGACATCAGGAAAGGGTTTTTAAAAGACATTGTTCCTCTGCCAAGGCGGCCAAAATCGTCTCGCAAGGGGAAAGAGACTTGGAAGGTGCCAGGGGAAGAAAAAGGAGAGAAGTCCCTCGCTTAAGAATAAGATATCTGTGCATTTGCAGGATCATTTTGGTCTGGCTGCTTAAATATCCAGTGAGTATAATTAAGGCATCTAATTTAACACAGAACAGAGAAACAGAGAGCTGGAAAAGGACATCGGTGGTCTTTGGTTGGGGTGTTAGTCTCTTTGGCAGTTCCTTCATTGGGGTATTACTTCTTGTTTCTTGGTAGGGTATTAATCTTGGTGCAGATCTATCCTCATTTGGGTGTACTGATGAAGGAGGGTATTTGTAGCTCAGGGTTGAAGTGTGGGGTCCTTGGTGCTCTCTGAGCTTGGTGGTTTTCTTGCAGACGTTTCATGACCCAACTAGGTAACATCATCAGTGCTAGAAGGGAGTGGGGTTTGTGAAGAGGAGGAGGAAGAGGAGGAGGAAGAGGAGGAGAACTGTGGGGTCCTTGGTGCTCTCTGAGCTTGTTGGTCTAGCAAACGTTTCATTCCCCAACTAGGGAACATCATCAGGACTAGAAGAGAGTGGGCATTGTGGAGAGGAGGAGAAAGACTGTGGGGTCCTTGGTGCTCTCTGAACTTGGTTGTTT